GAGCAGGCTGCCTTCCCTCTGGGAAGCACCCACCCTCGCTACCTATACCTGGCCAGCAACCAGAGCAACAAGTGGGGTCACCCACGGGGCTACCGCATCCAGACGCTCAGTTTTGCTGGGGAGCCTCTGCCCCAAAACAGCTCCATGGAGAGAGCCTTCAGCTGGGGAAGGTGAGTGTGGGGTGTCAGGCTGGGGAAGATGGACTGTAAGAAGGGCCGCGTGTTGCTGGGAAACCAGATTTCACCACTATGTGTGTGCATGCACACACTCATACATACACAGTCCTGTGGCTACAATCCTTAGTCATTTAAAATGCAGCCTACTAGATGGGTGGATGAATGGAGAGATACATGAGGAATCAAATATAATAAAGTGTTAGAGGTAGAATCCGGGTGTTGGGTGTTCACTATACTATTATTTCAACTTTTCTGTTAGTATAAAATGTTCACAATAAAAGTTGGAGGAAAAAAACAAAGAATAAGAGAGAAACACTGGTCTGAGGGAGTATTCCCTAAAACCCAGACATCTGAGATACTGAAATTGACGAAAATGGAAATCAGGCCCCGTCCAGGCACAAGCATCCAGGGCCCAGGCTCTGATCTGAATGGATGCACGAGTGACAGTTGGACCTGATGTCTGCATAATGGGCCAGTTGATGTTTGAGATGCAGGATATTGAACAAATGTGAGAACTCTACGAGAGAGAAACAGAGAGAGGGAAAATGGGAACCGAACAGAGAATAATGAAGAGGCTTGCCACCCCGAGACCTTTGTGCTTATTTTTCCTTTGCTTTCTCTTCAGTGCAGCTTCAGACAGTGGGACAGGTCCATGACCTGTGGGTCTAATCCAAATCTCCTATAGGTACCAGCTGGCTGTGACCCAGCGGAAGGAGGAGGAGCCCAGCAGCACCAGCATCTACAATTTGAATGACCCTTGGACGCCCACCGTGGACTTCACCGACTTCATCAACAATGAGACTGTTGCAGGGCAGGTCAGTTAGAGAGCAAAGATGAGCCACTTCACTCTCTCCCAAGCCAGGTGCCTTGGGGATCTGTAGAACCCACTAAGAAATGAAGCTTTAGGATGTCACATTTTTCCTGGGTCAGGGAGCTGAATCCTTACATACAAGGCTACTGAGGGAGGGAGGCATGTCCTTAACAAAGCCAGGCCTCATGATCCTCTCCCTTCTCCCCTGCTAGGACTTGGTGGCCTGGGTGACAGCCGGTTTCCTGCACATCCCACATGCAGAGGAC